AGCAGCGCAGTAGGATTGAAGGAGCACCCCGCTCTCGCTCCCTCCCTCCCCGCCCCTCTCTCCCCCTCTCTCCACCTCGTTCCCAGTGCCGTGTGGCCTGAAAATAACAAGGTTGGAGTCAGAGTGATGAATGGGGCAAGATTGACTCGGCACTAATTTTGCCTGGGAGCTGTAGCTATTTTGGGCCCTTGCTGAGCCCTGGTTTAGCTTAGCTGGTTAGAGAGCAGGGCTCATGAGGTCAAGGGTATAAAAAGGGAGCCGAAAACATGGGACTGGAGGCCGAAGCCTTGGGGCCTGCTCCTCCTGTTCTGCCACTTTTGACCTGGAGCCCTCCTGCGAGTTACTTACCCTCCCTGGGCCAGTATCTTCACGTTCTTTCCTTCTGTCCCCGCCTCCTTCGCTAGTCACTGCTGCACGTCTCGGGTCACAGCCTGATTTCTCATCCCAAGACTGGGTTGAATGTCCCTCCGTGTGCTTCTGTACCTTTAGGCTTCCAGGTATGAGTCCCGTTTCTCCCAACTTCTCAACGAATGAGTTGGGGCGAGTCTGTCAACCTCGCTGTGCCTCAGTTTTCTCATCTGTCAATGGGGATAACGGAAGCAGTACCTGTCTCATGGGGTTGTTGCAGTTCATTACCCTGTGTAACTTAAGTAAGCACTTAACACAGGAACTGGGCTCAGTAAATGCTAGTTTAAAATTGAGATGGTTCTGACATTCAGTGGAATATTGAGCTAATGAAATCAAGCGTCTAGTCCCCTGTCACGTAAGACCCATGGAACTGGGGCTTCATAGCGTTCTCTCCTGTCATTACTCACGTATTTCCTAGCATGTAGTACGTGCTCAATAAAACTTGTGGCCTAAATGGCCCAGGTCTGATGTTCTAGGGAACTCCCCTAGCTCTGCTGAGAGCCCCAAATAGTGCAGCTGGGTTTGTCCACAGGTCCTCACCAGCAATGCCGACCTTGAAAGGCCAGTGCGAAACTGGGAGTGGGAGGCTTGTGCATAATAATGTGAGCATTGCTAAAATCCTTTCCCGTCTCTTCAATTCCACGATTTGCTCCTTCCAGCCCCTCCCCACCCAGAGCCTTGAAGTTCAGGAAGGCCTTGCTGACGCGCAAATACCTGCATGCGAATCCATGATGACCACGGTGTCACTGGCTTTAAAGAGCTCATTAGAAGAACAGCGTGTTGTGGGGGGTAGGCCACTGGCCTGGTAAATTCTGCAGGGTCAGGGATAGAGGGAGGAAGGAGACACCGAGCGGGCACCTCCCTGGCTGAGAGCAAAGTCAGCCAGAGAGGGCGTCTTTGGTTCTGCCCAGAGCTTAACCTGCAGCGACTTTATATAAACTTGGTTGGCAACACTGGTAACAATAAATAACTAGAACGCCCCAAACAAGGCCCCCTCTGCTGAGCAGACCATTAAGGACCCGAGGGAGGTTATTTCACTTGGCAGCTTCCCCCATGGGTGGCCGAGAAGCCCAAAGATGGAGGCTGGGCTCCTCGAGCCTTCTTGTTCTGGGAAGGGAAGAATAAATGACACCGGACCCGTGGCGGCTGGCTTATCTGTCTCTCCCCCGAGGCGTGCTCAACGCTGTGTGCTGGCAGTGTTCTTTGGCCAAACCGGATGTCCTGGGTGTAGGGCGTGTGTGTGTGTGTGTCCCAGACCAGAACCATCGTTCAGCCTGACCTTTGTTTTTGTGTGTTATTGATTGGATTTAAGTCACTTCATTACTTTCTCCAGGTGAGCCCTGCCACTCTGTGCCCCGTGTTGCTTTGCGGTCACAGCACCTGTGGGGAGGCAGAAGGCGAGAATGAGGCTGACGGGAATAACGTCAGTGGTGATGGTGACGGTGATGAATGAAACAATGGCAGTGACGATGATGATGGGGATGATGGGAATGGGGATGGGGTGATGGTGACAGGAGCAAAATCCGCTGAGCACGCTAGATACACAGCACTCTTCTGAATGATTTCATTTAATTTACTAACTTCTTTAATCCCCACCACTTCCCTGTGAACGAGGGTCTGTTGTCACAGAATCCATCATCTGCTGGCCGTGCAATGCTGGGCAAGCGATCTCATCTCCCAGAGTCTTGGTTTCCCCATCTGTAAAATGGAATAAAAATAGCACATCTCTGGCACACGCTCAGCGTTTGACGTAAATGTTCGAGAGATGAAGGCGATCCTCACGGCTGTTGATCGGGCCCTCCCGTCAAGCCTGTGAAGGAGGAGGTTTATGAGGACCCCAGGCTTCCGGGACAGGGCGGGGGCAAGCTCTGCCGGGTAGGAGCAGCTGAGCTGGGTTCAAAGCTGGGCACGGGCCGCCGTGCCAGTCGCGCTGGCCGCCAGAAGCTCCTTCGGTCGGATCCCTGGGGTCCCCGGGCTAAGACCACGTGAGCCCAGATTGGCCCCAGAGCGGGCTGGGCTCAGTCAGCCCCCCGGCGGGCCCTCAGCTGAGCGGCCCGGGACCGACCACAGGGTTGGGGTGAGGAACGCAGGAGAGCTGGAGGTTGGGGGCGCATGGGGTGAGTCACCTGGTACCTGGAGAGCTGGGATGCCAGAGACAGTTCGCCAGTTCCGTCGCCTCCCACCTAAGGAGGCCAGTGGAGTGGCAGCCGTGACGCGTCTTAACTTGGAGTGGGATGCGTCTAGAGCGTTTTTCCCGGCTCTGCAAATCCACAAACAGCCAGATCTGCCGAGCAACACCTTCCTCTGCGGGACCGCCGGCTCCGTGCGTCTACCAAGCCATCAAGGTGTGGATGGCGTGATCTGAGATGCGCATCAGTATGAGACACCCGCCAGAGTCTGAGGTCTTCGTGTGAAGCAAAGAATATAGAAGGTGTCGTTAATCACAACGTTTATGTTTATTTCATGTTGCAATGACAATATTTTAGATTTTTGGGTTAAAGTACATGATTAAGACTAGTTTCACCTGTTTTTCCCTTTGTCATGTGGCTGCTTGAACATCTTAGGTGATGCATACGGCTCACGTCGCCGTTCTCTGTTCTAGGGCTTACAGTGAAGTGAGATTTCACAGTTTAACAATCGAACAGCTTGTTTGAGGGTTTCAGACCTGAATTCAGATCTCCAGCTAGCCCCTAACCAGCTGTGTGCCCTTGGGCAACTCACCGCCCCTCTCTGGGCCTTCGTTTCCTCAACTGTAAAACGAAGGTACTAACACCTACCTCCTAGGGTTGTTTTGTGGGTAAATGAGAGGCGAGGTGGACGGTGGTGAAAATAATGTCTGGCGTTGAGTGAGCAGTCCATAACTGAGAGGTGTTGTTGTCATTTAAATGAGCTGATCTGGGGCGCCTGGGTGGCTCAGTCGGTTGAGCGTCCGACTTCAGCTCAGGTCACGATCTCACGGATCGTGAGTTCGAGCCCCGCGTCAGGCTGTGGGCTGACGGCTCAGAGCCTGGAGCCTGCTTCCGATTCTGTGTCTCCCTCTCTCTCTGCCCCTCCCCCATTCATGCTCTGTCTCTCTCTGTCTCAAAAATAAATAAACATTAAAAAAAAAAAATTTAAATGAGCTGATCTGCACCAACCCTGTGGAGCCCAAACCTCTCCAGCCCCGAGAATGGTCTTTGTATTATTTTCCCTTTTGTGACTGGAAAGATTTTTCTTTCTTTCTTTTTTTTTTTTTTTTTTTAAGTTTACTTATTTATTTTGAGAGTGACCGAGAGGAGCATATGGACGGGAGGGGCAGAGAGAGCGAGAGAGAGAGAGAGAGAGAGAGAGGGAGAATCCCAAGCAGGCTCTGTGTTGTCAGTGTGGAGCCTTACATGGGGCTTGATCTCATGAACCGTGAGATCATGACCTAAGCCAAGATCAAGCGTTGGATGCTCAACCAGGCACCCCAGGATTTTTGTTCCTTAAACAAACTCTATGATTTTAAGATTTTTTCCCACTAAATTAAAAAAAAAAACAAAAACAAATCCGTCAGAGACACTAATAATTCTCGAGAAATTCTGCTTGTCTTGAGGAGGGATGGTCTATAGCACTGAGTTAATCCAATTCCAGCCCCCAAACACAGAGTTGTACCACTTTTGAGGATTAGTGTGTAATTTCTAGGGTTTTAAAAATCCTAAGACGTCCCATGGACTCCTGTGGTGCCTTGAGGCACCTTTAAGAGTTTGGGACAGTGGGAGGGGGAGGAGGACCATGATCTCTGTTAATCTCCTCATTTTACAGATAGGGGAACGGATGACCAGAGAGGTTAGGCACCCTGCCCGACACCACACAGCAAGTCGGTGGCAGAGGTCATCTGGCTGCGTCTTTGCTCGTGACCACTTGCTAGTGGTGCATTATGGCACCTAGTCATCCCAACAGTCTTAAAATTATTTCTATTTAAAGATGAGGAAACAGGATCAGAGAGGCTAAGTCACTTGTCTGGCAGCAAGTGGCAGAAGTGATACCCCCCCCACACACACAAATTCACATCCATCAGGAACCTCAGAATTGAGCCTTTTGTGGAAATAGGTGTCATGGGTTGAGGTGCAGTCCTACCGGAATCGGGTGGGTCCCAACCCAGTGACCGGTGCCCTTATGAGAAGAGAAAACAGACACAGACACCCAGAGGGAACACAACGTGAAGGTGGAGACAGAGACATTCGATTGATGTGTCTGTGAGCCCACGAACGCCAGAGATTGCCAGAACCCACCAGAAGTTAGGAGACAGGCACGGAACGGATGCTCCCTCAGAACCTCCGGAAGGAACCAGCCCTTCCCACAGCTCGATTGTGGACTTCCGGCCCCCAGGTCTATGAGAAGATACGTTTCTGTTGTATTAAGCCCCCTAGTTGGGTTATTTCTTATTTGGAAAATATTCCAGACGCGATAGGCTTGTCGCCCCTTCACATGAAAAACCCCAGCCGGTTCCAGGGAGCTGTCAGCATGTGCCCTCCTCCTGTCCGCGGACCCTCCCGGTGGCCCGTGGCAGCTGCCCAGCCTCAGAGCCGCGCCACAGGCTGCGGGCTATGAGAAAGGCCGCTGTGGCTGTGGTTCAACTGTGCATCCCGTCTGCTGCCTGCATTGTGAGCTCTTGCAAATTACTGTTTTCAGTTGAAAAGAGGTTCCAGAGAGCTCTTCAGCTGCTCAGCAGGAGCCGTGGATGCTCTTGAATTAACGAGGAGAAACGGAACCTTCTATGACGGAGGGCCTGGACCCCCCCCCACCCCCTTTGTCCTGGCCCTTGGTCAGGCTTGGGAGGGACGGTGGGGCCTCTCCGTGGTTCCCAGAAGAGCGGTTTCAGCTGAGACCCGGTCAGAGTGGCCTGTGTTCGGTGTGTCTGTTTGGAAGGGGCCAGGGGATGCTGAATTAGGCGATGTAGTTTCCAGGGGGTCAGCTGGCTTCTGACGCCGATTCAGAGGGGCCCGAGGGGCCTCTTGCCCAACGCGGCAGCCTGTCATTGGTCAGCACACACAGCGGACCTTCATTTGATGCGGCCAAATGGGCAGGAGGCCATTGAGGAGTAGCTGGCTGCTGGCTCACTGTGTGTGTGTGTGTGTGTGTGTGTGTGTGTGTGTGTGGTGGGGACTGTCTGGGATTTGAACACGCTTGCCCTGTTGGTTGATCTGATGCAAACTCCCCTCTATCTCTGGTTTCCACCTTAGCTGACGCCATTCTCCCCTAAGCCTGTTTGCACACCCATCCCACCAATATTTATTGTGCACAGGCTGTTTTCCAGACCTTTCCAGACCTGTTTTCCAGGCCTTTCCAGAAAGGCCCTTTACAGCATTGTCTCATTTAATCATTACAGAAACCCTGGGCTGCATTATTGTCATTGTCCCCATTTTACAGATGACGAAATCAAGGCTTGGTCTCCCGCCCCAGCTCACAGAGCTGGTAAGTGGCCAAGCGGCGTTCGGATGCTGGTCTGTCTTACACCCAAGTCCACGCTCCTGACCGTATTCATCTTGGGAGGGTCTCTGCGTTTTGACCACTGAGCTGAGTTGGAGGGATACAAGCAGATTTGATTCAAGACCGTGGTAACAAGGGGCAGAGAGACCGAGGGATGGCACAGCCCCACCCCGAACACGGCAGGGCGAGCGGGGACGTACAGCTGAGCCCAGGGTCGGGGCGGGGTGGGGGGGGGGTGGTCAGTGGATAGAAGACTAGGAAACATCGGGAACAAGGCAGGATTCTGGCTAACCTGACCCAACAGGATTCGTGCTGAAGGCGGGTCAGGTGATCAGATGTTACCTGGGGGATGGGGGCCCGCGGGCCGGGGCCCGGCATTGAAGGTGATCAGGTATGGGGGCTGGGGATTCTGCTCAACTCACTTGACCGGATTCTTGCTAAAATTGGACAATGCAGAGATGCCCACTTGAAGACAAGTTCAGGGAAGGCTGAGTAGAGCTTCGCTAAGCAGAGAATCTTTGTCACTATTTATTCCCCGTCTTGTCCTTAAAAAAAACAATGAAGGCTGCAGCTGCCTTAAGTGGATAATTAAGACGTTGGGCTCTGGTGTCAGACATGTCTAGGCTCAAACCCTGGCTCTACCAGCCGCTAGCTGAGTGCCTCAGTTTCCATACCTGTAAAATGGAGACCGTCACAGACCTCCGTCCTGGGGCTGGGTGCGGTGATGGGGGAACAGCCTGGCACAAGGTTCAAATCCACAGGCGGTGGCTGGAGTCTGACTACCGGACAGCGTCCTCCAAACCAAGGCAGCTGGGGACTATCAACGTCGCTCTTTCTGCCACGGTCAGCCCATCCCGCTGATGGCTTTGAGCCTCTAAAACGCGACGGTGTCGAGGGGCGCCTGGGGGGTTCAGTCAGTTAAGCGTCTGGCTTCGGCTCAGGTCGCGATCTCCCAGCTCGTGGGTTTCAGCCCCGCATCGGGCTCTGTGCTGACCCGAGAGCCTGCTTCGGATTCTGTGTCTCCCTCTCTCTCTGCCCCTCCCCCACTGGCACTCTGTCTCTCTCTCCAAAATAAACGAACATGATAAAATACCAATGCGTTGGGCACTGGGGAAAGAGTCAGGGATACAGAGGTGAGAAAGATAGTCAATTCTGTCTTCAGGTGGCTCTTGGAAGGTAGAGGGATACTGAGCTGGGCTTGCGTGTGTGAATCGTGGCGTGGAGACATTTGACAGTGGAGACATTTTTTAAGTTTATTTTTATTTTTGCGAGAGAGAGAGCGAGCGAGTGGGGAAAGGGCAGAGAGAGAGGGGGCACAGAGGATCCGAAGCGGGCTCCGCACCGACAGCAGAGAGCCCGACGCGGGGCTGAAACCCATGAACTGTGAGTTCATGGCCGGAGCTGAAGTTGGACGCTTGACCGACTGAGCCACCCGGGCGCCCCCAGGAGACCGTTTTGATTGTCATGACTGATGGAGGGGGTGCTCGTAGGCAGAAGTCTGCCAGGGTGCTTGTAAATATCCTTCAGTGCACGGGTAGCCCCCCTCAACGGCGAATCATCCCAGCCCCGGATGTCAGTAACGCCAAGGTTGAGAAGCGCAGGTGCGGGCACCAGTGAGCGCGGTGAGCACTCCTGTCACCCCTGCGCAGAGACCCCAGGGCTCCGTGGGACCCGTAGGAAGCACGTGCCTGAACCACCCTCCTTCAGCCTGCCCTCACCCATCAGCGGCTTCCAGCCAGATAATCAGACCTCCCCACGTTTCATAGGATCCGGTCTGAGGAGGCAAATGCAGAAACAAAGCCCTGGGCAAATGTGTTTTTATGTAAACCCAGCAGGGGGTGGCGGCGGCCTGGGGAGAAAGTACCCTATGGCTGCTCCTTCTCAGAGCAAAAATAACCCTGACTGTTCCTGCTCTTGGAGCCCAGCAGGCCAGGAGAGGAGGGTCACGTGGGGACCCAGGTGCTCATGGGAGCTGTCCCTGCCCCCCCCCCCCCAGCCACCCCCTCCCTCCAGGTGAGCACCCAGGAGCCGGGGATGAGAAGAGAGCAGGTGTTGGTTTTCTTGGAAGCATCCCTTCCTTCGTCGCTCGGCCGGCATAGCAGGAAAAAAGCAGGTTTTTGAGTATAATTTACCTACAGTAAAATTCACCCAGTGAATACGTTTCAACAAGTGTACTCAGCCGTGGAACCACCTGTAGAACGGAGATATACAGGCATCCGTCACCCCTCAAAATCCCTCTGTGCCTCGGCTGTTTCCCCCCCTCCCCCCACCCTCCAAGACTTTAAAAGCTAAAAAATAAGGTCGTCTGTCCTCTTCCTGACGGCAGAGGCCGCCTCTTCTTCAGGGGTGGGTCCACAGCACCTGGCACGCAATAGATACGCAATAAATGTTTGCCGAATGGAGAAATAAAACCACCCTCCGCCCCGCCACAGGGGTCTGGGGGAGACTATCGGGCTCCCGTGGATCAGAGCAGAGGTGGTTTGAGGTGATGAAGGAGAAGTTTTCCCCCAGAGATGATGCATCTGTGAACTTTTTGCAGGATAGACTCTCACCTTAGAGGGATCCCCGGGTTCGGGTCAGGACTGCGGGGCACATCTTGGCTTGGCAGGTGGCTGGCACGCAGTGAGTGCTTGTTGAGGGAATGAGTGAGTGAATTGTAGTTTGAATGGGGGTGGGGGGGGGCGGTCATCAGTAAGGAGGAGCCAGAAGACATTTTGGGCAGTCTTTGTTTTTGTGCTTTCCAGGGGAGAAACTGAAGGCACAGAGAGGGTAAACCACTTGCCTTGGGACACACAGTCGTAGAACGAGCTTGACAGGTTGGAGCAGGAATAGGAAAGGGAACGAGAGACAGACATGAATCTTTACCTCGTGCCTGCAACAGGCTAGGAGTTTCAGACACGAGCTTCCTCCAACCTTCACAGCCCCCCGGGAGCAGCCCTGTCATTTGCAGGGCCTCATGCAAAGTGCAAATGCTTCCCTGCTCGGTAATTGTTACGAATTCCAAGACCTCGGCAGCAGAGCATGAAACCAAGTGTGGGGTCCCCCACGGGACCCCACAGGTAGCACACCCAGGGAAAGGGCCCTGTGACCACGTCATTTACAGGCAAGGAAACCCCAGCTCAGACAGGCTGCCCATTTCATCCAGGACACCACGCCTGTCTTCCGGTGTCCAGATTCGAACCCACGGGCTTCAGTGGTCATCAGCTTCATTCGCTGAGTGTGCTAGCCTTGCCCCTGAGCCCCCAGGGCTGAGCGCCTGAGTGCCCTGACGTGCTGTCCAGCGCTCTGGGCAGGGAGGAGAGGAGCTTCCCTGCCCCCCCCCCCCCGGCCGCCTGGCTGCTGCTGCAGCCTTGAGCACACAGCCAGCTCCCCTGCCTCCTTCTCCCTCCCAGGATGTAAGGAGACAGACCTTCCTCCCTCGTCCCCAGGGAAGATTTATTCCTGGGGGCGCGTGGGTGGATGCGTGTTTGGGGGGGGTGTTTGTCTAAATTTAAAGACATCATGACAGCAACAGCCTATTAATGTTGAGACTGGTGAGGTCTCTCCTTTAGAAGAATCACGAATAAGTTGACAGCAGGAGCCGCCTCCGGTTCTAACTTCTGCGCCCCAGGTGCGCCTCGCCCTGCTCCTTGCCTGCCAGTTCTCTGGCAGCTGAGGGTAATAATAGGGGCCGGGGGTGAAGGCGTGCACTTGGCCTGAAGAGCGCTGGCTGCGGGATGTATGGAATTGTATGGAATTGTCGAATCACTGTATCACACACCTGAAGCTAATGTTAACACTGTATGCTAACTAGCTGGAAGAATAATGACAATAGTGAGGCTCGTCTTCTGCCAGATGCCCATGGGGGACCCTGAGAAGTGGCATAGTTGTGCATTTTATAGATTGGGAAGACGGAGGTTCAGAGAGGGGCCTGCCCTGCCGTGGTCTTGAGTTATGAACTGACAAGGAGGGTTTCAGTGACTCCAGTATGTTCCAGAACCCATGCACCCTCCGACGAGCCTTGGCTGCCTATGTTGATTCAAACGCGAAGTTAACAGTAGTTGCGATCCTGTTGAGATCCAGCGGTGTGCCTGGCCCTGGCCTAAGCATTTTACGTGCGTTACTTGGAAGAATCCTTCAAACGGTCCATGCCGCGGGGATCCACCATTCTCATCCCAGTTTATGGATGAGGAGCCTACAGCTTAAGAGTCATAAGTGGCTTCCTCCCCTTCTCAGAGCTCGTGATAGAGCCAAGATACCAAGTCAAGTCTCGGTGACCTCAAAACTCCTGCACCCTCCGTCTGTTTCTTTAAACCACGGCCAGTAGTGGAGAAAGAGAAGACAGGCAAAATGACACACACACACACACACACACACACACACACACACACACACAATCACTCCTACACCTACTCTGCAAGAG